GGGGGGGGGGGGGGGGGGCGCCGTGCTTTCTCTGCCGTCCGTGCTTTCTCTGTATCTTGCCTGCTGCGCGGAAACGGATGAAAATCAACCCGTTCTTCTGCCCACGTGCCATGTCTTGTCTTTGACCTGTTCTTGCCTTAGTTTGCCTCAGACTCTGTTGCTTCATCAATGCTGGTTCACGCCGTGCTTTCTTGTTGCTTTGGTCGAGAACCGTACAGCCAGGCAGGCAGAGACGGGCTCTTGTTCGTGAACGGGTGCTGGGTTTAGAGGCGTCGGCCGTTTCGCCGTTTGTCCAGCCAGGATTGGATAGCCCTGGGGCGTTTCGCCAACGGGCTTAGGGGGCAGAGGTCCCCACAAGGGTCCGAACATGATTGATTCTGTTTGTACTCTACATGCATGACAACGTTGTTTTCGTACTAATGTGCGTAAGCCTGTCGGCAATTTCTGTTGCCCGGTCGACCCCCAGATTGGATTTGAGGACCGTGTGTATTGTGTGGGGTGTGTGAAATACCCCCTGTATTTGTGCATTGTTAAAAGGTTAGAGTTAAATGGTAGCGTTGTTGATGCACCAGTTAACAGCGGGGCAGCAGTGTAGTGATACTGGAAAGCCAGGCAGGGCGTAGAACGTCGTGAACCATGATTGTTGCCAACGGCTTCTCGACGATTAGTGTAGCGCTACAAGTATTGTCTCCCAATTCCTCGTAAAACAGAGGAAGAAGAGGGCGACGAGACAAGAATATTCCGTGACGACGTGTTGGTGTAGGAAGCAAGAGAACGCTACTGATAGACGTCGATCGCTGAGCGGGATACTGTTTGGGATTGTTGTCGTCCGCTGCTTCCATTCGTTGAAGAATACTATTATTAGGTGAATTAAGAGGGAATAGATGGGGGTAAAATTGAAAGCAGGTAGTCAGTTGGTACGCACGTGTTCTTCCTGCCTTTGATTTGTTACAACGCGTGTGTGCCAATGGTATATAGAGAGGAGTAAAATGGTCAAAAACCCATCTCAGGTGTACCTCGCGGAGACAATGATGAACGGACACTTAATATACGTACACTAGCATCGCTGCTCTTGGGCTTCTACCGAACGGTGTGCCCAGTGTGTGTAAGGTAAATTCTATCTACCGCTCAATTCATACCTTCGTCGGCACTTGCTGCATGGATGGATCGATCCGCGGACGCTCGTGCAACAATGTACTTGGGAGGTGTAGTGTCCCGCTAACGCTGCATGAATTCATTGCTGATTTATCCTAGAGTAAGGACGGGTATTAAGGACCCCCTAAGGCACCCCCCACTTAGGCAGCTTGTTCTCTGGTTTCAAGATGATTCATGAAGAGATCAAGGTATCATACGATAGCCTATAACATAGACTACATGACAAAGAAAGAAGTGAAGGTGGCGAGTATATATAGACCTTGAAGTATACCTCACGTTCTAGGTAAAATTTGGGTCAAAAGGAGGGGGGGGGTATGAAGGACCACTTTCCGGTAGTGGCCGGATACGCACGTTCCAAAGCGTTCCACGACCTGAAATTTGGTACACAGGCTCTTAGTATGACGTATGTTCGATACAAAAAAAATAAAATAAATTGGTGCACACCCGGGGACAAAATGCCCATATCCCCGGTTTTTCGGCCCAGTTTTGAGGAACGGAATATACCCCTTTTGGGTGGTACTGCGTGTTCTCTTGCCTTGAAACCATGCAAACGTAGTAATTTGATGAATTAATGACTTGTATGCGTCCTACTCGGACTCACAAAAAAAAATTTGCGGCAATCGAATACCTATGGACGACATTATGCCTGTCCAGACATGGGGTACTTTCCCCCCTTTTTCGGCTTGTACGGCAGAAAATTCCGAAAAAATCTGCTACAGTTAAATGAACAATTTACACCCACAACTCAACCCCCACGAGACGCCGGTTGAGAGAAACGAAGTAAACGTTGCAGAAAACGCGTTGGACAAGAAGAAAAAAAAAAACACATAGACCAGGGGACAAAAGTGCAGCATTCCCGGGTTTCTCGACAAAATGCCCGCCGGCCCGTCCCGACCCCCCCGGCGGTGCTGTTCGACCCCAAATTGCCTCAAGCAACCTCGTGAACAATATTTAACACGCTACGGTTTGAAATCGGTTCCACACGCAAACTTCAAGCCGTTCGGAGCTAATTTCACCCGGATACCAGCTGTTCTGCATCACGAAACAACCCCCCCTCGAAGACACCTAAACATCCACCACAGGTGTCCGCGTCAGGGTTCGTCCCGACCGGGAAACGGGCGCCGCCGGCGGCTGACCACCATCGATTCCCGCCTCTCCCGCCCCTCTCCCACCGCGGCAAGGACTGCCGCCGCCCTGCCCACGCCCCCCTGCTCCCCCGCGGCCACCAAC